TGGCTGTTGGAATAGTTATAATAAACATGATGGTAGTTGTTTGGTTGTCTTATAGTTGTATTATATCAGACAGAGGTTGGGCGTAGGAGATACTTAACAGTTAGGATATTGGGCATCTGTACTCAGTGTAACTATAATTGTACATGTAATAGCCATAGATATTTTATATACACTAGATAGTGCATCTAATTATATTATTCTACTATTCAAAAATTGAAGACGTGATTGCATGCAGATTTTCATGAAATGAGAACATAGGTATGTTTTCATTTTTTAAACACGGAACTTAAATATTAAGCTAAACCTATTCCAACTACATTTTTAAACTATTCAAATGATGAATGTTACTGTTGTTTTTTAATAAGCGTTTTGATTATAGCGAGTGGGAAATACCAACATGGCCGCCAACTATTCAAATGGGGTAACTGCTGGAATATTCTTTGCTTCAATTTTACTAAAAGAGATGCGCTATCTAGTGTATAAGATATCTATCGTAATAGCTCTGAATTCATGTTTGTTTATTTAGGCGTTGTCAAATAAATTAAATTAGCAACACACTCAAAATCAGGATAGTCTATATCGACACATATTTCAAGTAGTTCAGTGGGAAAAATAATCATTCTAAGAATATTAAGTTTATCCTACGAGTTACGCTGAAAAATGAAGTTGTAGTTGGGGTGTGAGAAGTAAAAAAATTTTCCCGGACAACAACTCAAAAATGTTACCTTCACTGTATTGATTATATTCGTGTGCATGCAGTGACTCGCATCTTTTGGGCGCCTCGCAACTTGCAGACCCAAACAGAACACAATATCTCTCTGAACAATTTCAATTCTGCACGTAGCTTTAATTAATTAACCAATTATTATTGCAAGCTTGTGTGGGAGTACAGACATTCTGTCTTTAGGAATTGAAATGTTTTGCCGCCCTTTTCTCAACAAAGAAAATTAAAAACAAAATATTTCAGCCGTTTATTATAAAAAAATACTTAAGCCTTTTATTATGTATACAGAAGCTACAGGAAACTTAAGCATGTGTGTTGTGAGTTCCAAACTCTTTCCCCTAAAGGTCAAGTAAGAACTATCCTTCATTGGTCGAGTGTGTTACCAGCTACAGTACTGATAATCCTTTAACTAAACCAACTCAGATAGCACCTGCTTGCTGCATAACTTTCTGCAGTGTACACGTTGAAGAAAAAATCAACAATATATATTTCGTTTGAATTATTTTATCATTTTTGAACCTTTGAAAAGAGTGCTATTAATACATTTGGAACTAATATTTTACCTGGAACTATAATAGACATGCAGCAATTACGCCAACGCTAACCAAAGATTTAAAGAAATTATCATATTATTTGGCGTAATTTGGAGTTAGAAAGATAGTCGTTCTCAAGCATTTGGTGGGTTTATATTTTCAATAATTATTGTACTGTGCCTTTAAAAGTTATTTCGTTATCTTGATACCATTGTCATAAACCACATTTATTTTGTTTTTGTGGACACGTTTATTTATTTGTCTTGGCTTTGGCGAGACTATTGGTGCCATAATAATTTAATACACAGTTGCATGAAGATCCATGCAGGCTTGCAGATCAAAAGCTAGTAATGACAAAATAAACGTGATTTTTCCGCAAATATAATACCAAACAAATATATTTCCAGCATACAATCAATTAAGGCTTTTCTCAGCGAAATTGCAACTTATCCACAGTAGTGTCTCCTAGCTTAAACTGGACCTCGACGAAGAATTAAGTATATTTTGCAGAAATACACAAACCGAACAGTTGTCTGAATTTTGCACAAGGATAGAGCTAACTAAGCCCAGAGAAGCCAATCCCACGGAGAAATAACGCTAAAGGAATTATAAAATATAGCTGTTGGAAAAGTCAATACACATGATTGTGATATTTTTTGGTTGCCTTAGTAATCTTATCTCAGACAGACGTTGAACTTCGCAAGCCACGGTCTTTACTTCCGCACCGCTTTTCTGTAGCACCGTGCGGATCGAAGTAAAGACCCTGCATGGCATGCAAGGTTGACAAAGGTTCAGCTTTAAGAGAGGGTTATACTCGGTGTAACATATAATAGCTCAAAATCTCATGTCTGTTTATTTAAGGCGTTGTCACTTGAATAAAATAAGCAACACCCTCAAAATAAAGGATAATCTATTTCGACACTTATTTCAAATAATTTTGCAGTGGGGGAATAACTCATTCTAAGAATATTATGTTTACCCTACGAGTTATTCTAGAATTCAGTAAGAAGAAAATAGCATAATAATACAGCATGCCAAATGCCATAATGCTTTAGAATCTATCCAAGGCGACAATAAACAGCATTATCAGTTTAGAGGTACGGATTATTCAATTGTAATTAAAATTCAATTAACTATAGTGCCAACCAATTAAACACATGCAGCTTTGTTTAGCCAGGTGCTTAAAATTTAATTAACCACGCAAATACCATCCATTGCATCGAGATCCTTCTATTACCTGACCAATATACAGTGGTATTCCGGGCTAAAAGGAGAGTACTCAAAAGTTAGTCATTTATGCGCTCACCGTTCGTTGTGTTAATCCTTCGCAAGACTGATAGTTATCGGACCGTCAGAGGTACGAATTAAGCTAGGCACAAGTAAATGTCGCAGATAGCTCTTAAATTAACTCAATCAGCGTATAGATACCAGACATTACACAGTAACCAAACCGCTAGTGCTAAAATGCATGCAGCTTGCAATCTTGTAATAATGAACACACTAGATTAGGGCCTTTTATAGCAGGGAAAATAAGTAGCGACCTAAATAAGCAACGGCTTAAATAAGTCGCGAACGAGTCCTAGAAACAGTCAATTTGAAATATAAAGCGCGCCTTAATTATTTTGTCCTAGCTTTTCAACTCTGCGTGGTTTATTTTAGCCGCGGATTGCAAACAAATTGACTGTTTAATATACCGGGGCGTAACTTGGGTAATACGTTCGTGTCCAGAATACACGTATGTAAAAAAGCCACAAAAAATATAAAACGTATTTTACATTAATAGCCATCATTACCCATCATTATCCATCATTAGTATAAACCTACTAGTATAGTATAGGCTAACCTGCGATCAGGCCTATTTATAAATAATAGGCCTGATACAAATCTTAACAAAAGTCCATGCCATTACAACCGTATTACGGTTGTAAATCTGATTGGTCTATTAAACAAAAGATTTTTTAATCTGTAATTTGATTGGTTAGTGCTAATTAGATTATTCTATTGTCGTTGATAAATTCATAGTGATCACAACTATAATTAGATTGTTATTGTCGTTGTATGAAATTTAAATTTCTCCTGTGACATTTTGATTGGATACTAAATATAAACTTTGCTGTTGGCGGAAAGCGATCAGGTTAAGGTTTGTGTCAGGCTCTTTTTTGTAAAATAGTGCCTGATACTCAGGTTAAGTATAGGCTATCATGGCAAGGAAGCTCTCAATCTCTCCTAGATTTAATACTAACTAACAATACAGAATCTATACGTAAGGTGAAAGTCGTGCCCGGTATAAGTGATCACGATATAGTTTCTTTCAATTTGAAAATACATTGCCAAAGAAACGTCCAATTAAAAGGAAAATTTACATCAGGAAGAAAGCCGATCACGATAAAATCAAACATGAACTGAATAAATTTTCAGAGTATTACGCAAACTCACTGAAGAATGACTCATTCAATGAGTCCATTGATGTTAAGTGGGATAAATTCGAAACAACACTGAAACGCACAATGAATACCTCCTGCATGCATACCAAATAAGTTAACTGGCGCACGTTATAATCTCCCTTGGTTTAACCGCCCATTCAGGCGTTTGTCCAGGGCAAAGCAAAGAGCATATAACAAAGCCAAAAAATCCTGCTAAAGACTCCGACTGGCCAAAGTTTAGAAATATGAAAAAACCATGCATAATCATCTGAAATCAGCTAGGGATACTTACATTTCCAATTACCTCGGGGATGCAATAAAGGAAAACCCAAAGAGATTTTGATCATTCATAAAACAATTAAATCAAGACGACCTACAATCAAGAGCAAAAATTATTGAGACAACTGCATAAATGCCCCCCTCACCCCCAATTCAATGTTGTGTGGATGACCGATAAGAGAAAATTCAACCCACTTTTTCCAACATTGATCATGGGGGCAGGGGGGAGGCCGACGTTCTTTAAAATGGCCAAAAATGTGAAAAGTCTCATTATTTTTGCACGCGATTGTCTGAGATGGGGCATTATATAGTTTGAATTATTTCATCATTTTTGAACCTTTGACGAGACTGTCACCTTCGGAATTAATATTTTACTTGCTTGTATAACCCATGCCATAGATTTATTTCATTTACAAATCACTGATTCAAGTGAAACCAATTAGATATCTCAAGAACGTGGAAAGATTGGCTATAGAAGAATTGTTCAGTGTATATACTTATTTTACATTTTAGATGTTCTTTCTGCTTACATGCTGAATTAAATTTCTTTGCTATTGGAGCAGACTCTCCTGTTTTCATGCCCATGCTCATGGACAAAAATCACAGAAGACAAGATTTTGTATAGACATTCAGACAATTACGCCAAAGCTAAAAAAAGATTTAAAGAACTTTCGAAATCTTGTTTTTGGCCGTAATTTGGAGATAGAATGATAGTCGTTCTTTTTTGTTCAATAATTGTGTATTGTGCTTTTAAAAATATTTGGGTTATCTTCATACCATTGTCAGACTCATATTTGTTATAAAGACAGCTTCATAGTTAAGACTCGACTCGATATGTCAGCGAATTTAAGACTATCCTGGGCTGGCGACTTTGATCGTTTGAAGGAGTTTGTAAAGAGTGACCTAGAGTTGCAGGGAAGCTGGTCATCCCCGGCGAACGAGAAAAAACTTTTCGTGTAAGACAACGTTGAGTTGCTTTGGTGGAAAAACAAAAAGTTCCTAAAGATCAATGGAGAGGATGCAAATCGAATCAAACGTTGTATGATCAACGCTATGTTTACGAGTTTAAACCTCGATAGTATCAAGTCTGGTGTGGACATGGCTACTAACACCGAGAACTCCTTAAACGAAAATCAACCAACAAAACACCAGTGTACGGGTTGTGAATGTTCGAAGCTATCACCAGACTTGGAGGGTTTGAAATTAGACTTGGTTGTTTTGGAATCGAAACTCAACCATAAAATCCAAGCCGTGGAAAACCAAATATTACGCATGAACGATTGCCGACCAAAAGAGTCGAAAAATCATGCAAATCTCGAAAATATGTTGACAACCTCTACACCCATTAGCAGCGGCGGCACGAACAAAACAAAAGAGGTTAGTAATTCAAATCCTCACATTAATCCCGTTGTTGTTCGGACCGCTAACGATGCATGCTTCACACCAATAAAAGTACCGGATAACACAGAAACTTTTATGGCCATAGATCAGTCATGCGAGAAAAC